ACAATCACAGGACCAAAAGGCTATTTCACAGGTGTTTTATAAAAACTTAGCCCCTGAGGGTAACTAGCATCTAGTTTCTCCTAAAAGCAGCATTCCTGAATCAAACATCAAGGTAAAAAGACTAGAGGCTGGCTTTCACTTAGAAGGAGTAAGTGTCATTATCAGAATTACAGAGCATTACAATCAAGAGGAAATCAAACCGACTGGATCGGTTTTGAATTTGCTGCCACTTGAACTGGCCTTAAAGGAAATAATTGCCAACAAAACAAGGTTATGACTGCTAAAAAAATTATCTTTGTCAGTTTCACAAGAAACAACTAGAGAACAGTATGAAGAATAAGCATACTGATGTTAGAGAGTAAAGCATTTGTATGCAACAATTCAAACTCAGCATGCACTTTAAAAATGCTAGTTACTAGGGGCAATTTAGTAACTGTGCCTTTGTTTAACATTTTTTTTTGGTCAGCCATTGTCAGGTAATAACTGATACCAGTGTATTCTTCCATACAAACTCTGACAACCTACAGGCATGCAAGAGTATATTATTCATTTGAAAGACATAGGATCACATAACACTGAAACATCAACAGGAAAACAGAAAATATGTCAATTGTACAGTTGAACCTTGCTTAGCCGAACCTCCTTTATCCAGACCTCGATAATCTGGATTTCATTTTTCAGGACTCATCTCTCTGGTTCCATTTTTTGTGAATATTCATACCTAACATGTGAGATCTATCACAACTTTTTCACATCAAACAAAGCAAATGTAATGCTATTCTATTAATGGAGCTCCATGGAATGATAAAATTAGCAACATACACACAAAAGCAGCCTAAAACAAACTGATTTACATCATCATTTTACATCATATAAGGTCGATGGTTAACTTTACTGTCTTTTTAAAATATTTTTGGAAAATTCAAAAGATGATGCACAGTGATTTATATGATACACACTCAGTTATAGTCTTGGCTCCTTAAAATTCATATTTTACATTATCTGAACTTTTGATTATCCAAACTTTTCAGCCAAATCCCCACGATTCTGGATAATCAAGGTTTGCCTGTACTACTTTGCAGTGATTGGTTATTTGATTTGCCTTCACTGCCTTGGTGGCAGTGTGTTTCAGTAAATGTAGAAGATCTGTAATTCTATGTCTAAGACTGCAAGACTCATTGGCAGCTAAGCTGTACACATACTTATTACAAAATGTTAACAAAGGAATCAGTAATCTATCTTTACTTAAGAGCAAGGGAGTATTCAATAATATCTTGTAGGTTTATGTGTTGTATTCACCATGCAGGATTATTTATCAAGCTTTTAAGGAGATGATTATGCACCCACTGCAATTACAAGTCTATCATACATCACTTTTTTTAAACCACAAAAGTCTTGTATTCAACTAACTATGCAGACTTAACAAGGTTTCTTTACTACTGTAGTAAGATTGGAATGAGATTGAGGTTAGCATGCACATTTCTGCCGTTCTTCCTGTCTCCCAGGTCGTATTGATCTTCGGAGTGATGGATCACCATACTGAATTCCTGAACCCATCCTGTCTGGGTCCAATTCACCTGTAGAACACAGCAAAGAAAAATTGTGTTCAGTTATTGACATTTCATGTATTAGTTAAAGACACGATTACTGGTAAGTGATAGAGTTTTCAAAAAACATTGTTGCATTATATACAACCACTTAAGCTAAACAAAATATTGTGGTTGTACCATCCATCAATGTAGTATTCATAATGATAAACTACTTAGAAGACTACAAGTTAAGTAGACAGGTAACATTCAGGTGAAGTCAGGAATGTCTTTGACAGAGTGTTAATAGGAGACTTGAGACCCAGGCAGGTGGTATACCACTCCACAACAATCCCTGGGGAAAGGAGTTACCCTAAGTAACTGGGTGGTCCTCAGTGCTGACACCTAACCACTGTAGAGGTATGTAAGTCACCTACCAGTTTCAATTTTACTGAGGATGGTTCTTGAGCACTTTAAAAAGGCCTCTTCAACATTCTCTCCAGTAAGAGCACTTGTCTCTAGGAACATCAACTCTACATAGAGGAAAAAAAAAATCAGACAGTCAAAAAACAAAATTTTCTGGTAACCATTTGTCTAACAATGCAAACAATCTATTTCTTTTGAGCCTTATTCCTTTTCCTCCATGTATTTACTGACCATTCTCTTGTGCAAATCTGCTAGCTTCCAGAAACGTGACTTCTCTGTCGCTATCCAGATCTTTCTTGTTACCGATGAGGATTATGACAATGTTTGGACTGGCAAGGGTTCTGGCATCTGTCAACCAGTTTGTCAGAGAGTTGTACGTTTCACGGCTGCAATCACAAGCAAAAAAAAGACACCATATGCAAAGGTAATTGTTTCTGCCAACAATTGCCTTGAAAAGAATAATATATCATTATTTTTTAATGAAAAATAACTGCAGCCATAACTTTCAGCCTAATGGGTTTACCAGAGTTGGAGGAATTTTTAAAACCTGACAAATTAAAAGATAATAGATCTCCTAATATCTTTTATAATTTTTTTTATTTTTATTTTTTTATTTTTGCAGTAACATTTCTAGTATAGATCATCATTCACTGTTTTTTTTTTTTTTAGTTAAAGCTTTTTCTTACAGAAGGCCACAATGTCATCAGTTCCACTACATGCTCCCCTCTTAAAATAAAGTCTATTGATTGGTTGATTGTTTGATTGATTGAATGATTGCCCAAGACAATATTGTAGCATGATGTAAGTTGCCCAATCTCAACTCTTCGACTCTGATGTAAACTTTCCTTACAACATTCTTACAATATTCAGTAAACAGGTGATGAGAATACTCAGACTCATCAGGTAGAAGTTGTTATCTTGATCTAACACCAAATTCTCATAACTCATTCACAAGAAATTGTGTAGCAGTTAGAAGGGAGAATCAACAATCAGATGTTGGGATTTAAAGAGTAAAAGAGATGGGAATAAAGGATTACTCCTCATAAATGGCTCTATGAGACCAGGACTACAAGCGTAACCCCTTCGCAAAACAAATTTAAAAAATTCAAGGAAAAAATATTGCAACATTCTTAAAACTCAGAGAATGGAGGCTGGTGGGTAGAGGTTCCCAGAGTTCAAGCAGCACTTGATGTCAGCAGGAACTTCCCTCCAGGGCCCAATTGTTTGAAGGCCAATTAGCACTAACCCAAGGTTAAATTTTAATCTGGGTTTCTTTATTGCTTTAGTCAAAAGCCTTTTTGGGATAATTTTCTGTGTTCTTTTTAGTGCATCAAATAATCATATTCCAGACAAAAATAGATTAGACTGAATTTTCTTTTAAAGCTTTCAGATCTGGCCCAGGAGTCTAGAGCAGTCAAGTTGTACATGAACCATTAGCCACTTGTCTCTTCCAAGTGTTCCCCAAGTACCCCAGTCAGCATAGTAAGGTTATTTACCTTGAAATGTCATAAACCAGAAGAGCTCCTGCTGCTCCTCTGTAATAACTCCTCGTCACAGACCTATCATCAAAATAACAAAAATGAAAAAGACGCTTTGAGGGAAAGAGAAAATTTTTGTGAAATGGAAAGAAGCCATATACTTTATTAGTGACCCCTAAGCCTTGTTCCGAGACAAAATTTAAATCATCAAATAAAGGAGTAACAATATTGCCTGAGGTAAATAGATTCCAGACTGGGCCAGCAAATTTTCTTGCTCTCTTGTCCATTAGGCCAAGTCCCAGCCAAAACATACTTTCAGTTCTCAGTGCTGTCAGGAATTTATTATCTTAGATCCCTGAAAATATGTAACCAACTGCCTGAAACAGAGCCAATGAATTTGCAATCTATATTATCAAACTGTAGATAAAAATGCAGGATGGCACTAAGTAAAACTGAAATCTTGTTTGACATCTATTGAGTATTGTTGAAACTGTTACAGATGAATATCTCCATATAAGAACTTATCCTTAAAGGTTGCTACATTTTACAATTGAAAGGAGAAATGGTATCATCTCTATTTTTGTTAAGCTCTGTTGCTCAAAATTGTGTTTAACTGTATGTTAACTGTACGACACAACAATATGTATTACATATTTATTTCTTTTGAGAATTTTTCACCTATAATCTTTAAGGACAGGGTTCTCCCTAGTTTTCAGCACAACAGGTAAGGGACCTTTTCAAACCAGTAAAACACATTTGCAGCTTCAGGTAGCTGGTGATCCGCAACTTTCTCATCACCCAAAGCATACAGTACAATGCGCCTATCAAAAATTCTCCATCGAAAAATTCATAATGTGAACGATACACCTTTAGGTTCAGAGGTTGAAAAAAACAAAGTAAAATTTTGTTTTAAAGCATTATATTTGACTATGCCCTTTCCAAACTGCTTATAATGTAAACTGGTCTCCCTTCAATTTGGGTGATATCTTTGGCATCACTTACATGGCATGTCACCGAAAAATCAGCGGTGTCAGCTATGAATTGCATCGCTATGAAATCGAATCACATTGAATAGCTGAATTCATGTTCTAATCATCTCAAATTCAGAACTTTTATGCTGTTGAAAGATTTTATTTTCAAGACTTCTTTCAAACCGTTGTCTGAAACACATTTCAAGTAGAATTTCCTGATGAAGAATAGCTTTGTCCCCACATGTTCATCATACATCTTACAATTGTAGAGCTGTCAAGGCGGTTATTTCTGGTAATTGGCTGCTTATCCATCACTAGTATGTAATCTTTGTTTTGTTTACCCCTAAAATTCTTGTAAAGCTTACCAGCCACTCTTCATGACCTCTTGTTACTGGACAGAAACGACAGCATTGTTTGCTGCTGTTTCATCGTGGAAACTGAACAACGAAACAACACCACATCTGCACATGCAGAGAACTGACAAATGTTATGAGATTTAGCTGAAAGCCCACGAAAAATCACTCTTGCTTCGAAATTCAAAAGATACCAGTCAGTTTTAGCTAACTAAAGCACACATAGATCTCAAATAGTGCACACTGGCTGCTTGTTATTACGCTTTCTTAGCAGATTAGCTCACCAAAAATGTGTATTTTTTAAGGGTTCTGAGCATTTGCAGAGAGTAATAAGTGCTAGTTACAAGTGGTAGGAGTAAACAACTGGTTACCACCTGATAAGGAGAACCCTGTAAGGCTGAAACTGATTTTGTGAACGAACTTTGCCATAGTCACTTAAATGATAAGTTACCAACCTTTCCCACAAAAACAGAATTAAAAAACAAGATGTGGAAAGGCTATAGGATTTTGACTAATTTTAGCCATGTACAGCTAATGCCAAAAAAAAGGAAAAACACTTGCTTAAAATTGATTCGAAAACGTATGCATATCTCTTGAAGGAAGTAGAAAGTCATACACTGCACAAGCTAACAGGGATTTGAATAAATATTAGAAATTCGAAATCGTAGCGATAAAAATTTGAAGGATGTGGAAAATCATACACTGTACTGGCTAACAGAAGCTTGGATAAATTTACCTGAATCTTTCCTGTCCAGCTGTGTCCCAAATTTGCAACTTCACAGACTTGCCACCAACATTGACTACCTTGGAGCCGAATTCTACACCAATAGTGTGGCTGGAGTCTTGCTTGACTGCCAAACATACGAACAATTTTAAGATGAACATACAAACGAGTGCAAGCAAGAGACAAAAATCCAAAACAACAGAGAAACAAAAAAAATAAGCTCATCAAAGCAAAAGGAGTCAAGTAATTCAAATCTGCAAAACGTATCAATATCGACGTGTTATGTAAAAAAAAAAATGCAACTTGGCATCTTTCAGGTGCACTGTGTTCTATTTGACACAAATAACGTTGTAACTTACATTTCCCCTCAATAAATTGATGTAGAATGCACGACTTTCCTGTTCCGGCGCTGCCGATCACCAAAAACTTAAATAGGAAATCTGCGGGAAAAATAATAAAACAAAACAGTTTAAATTTCTTAAAATTGTGCTGACTAGCGATCGACTAAACATCGTTTGGCTGGGAACAGCTACACTCACGCAACGAAAACACAGCTGATTAACAAAGTGCTATTTTCTGAAATATTAAGAAGTAATTTCTGCTTTACCATAGTTCTCTGACATGTTTCCAGCTGCTTGAAAACGAAAAATTTATGAGTTGAAGGAATTGTTCATCACAAAATGTCCGCTAAGTTGAAAATTTCCCAGGATTCTACATTGCTAAACGGAAAGAAGTTGTCATATTTCTCTAGGGCAGGCTAGGGAATATCTTGATATCGATTAACTTCATCACATATTTCTTTTCAAGTGGAAAAATTTTTAGTTGAAAATATCAAAATATATATTCTCCACGACTGATAATAACTTTAATTGAATTATACGTTAATTCTAAGAATTTATGCCCAAAAAACTTTGTTACATACCCCTCCCTGCCAAAGACCATGCCTCCCCATGAGTATGCGCAATCGGAAATTGCGCGGCCATTTTAGAAGTTACAAAAACGTTCGTAGTTCAATTTCAAATAACGCGTGATAAATTTCGCGTGATATGGAAGTGCGGCAAAGTGGCAGTAAGTTCAACGGGAAGCCCTTGATTGGACTATTGCAGTTGCATCCTTCAATGTTTTAATATTCTTTTAATAATGCTCGTTTTTAAAGGTAGTGACGAGACAATGACACAGACCCAGGAAGATTCGCACGATTTGGATTCAAAGTTATTGGGTCCTGTTCCAATTGTTGTGGCCACAGAAACCCACACCTTTAAGCTCGCCGAGAAGGCTTTGGAAGATATCTTGCTCGATGAAAGTGTTAGAGACAAGAAGGTCGCTGTAGTATCCGTTGCCGGTGCATTCAGGAAAGGAAAATCGTTTTTACTGGATTTCTTTCTCCGGTATTTAGACAGAGAGGTACGCAGTCTGTGATTCATGTACGTGTTTTGGCAAATTTTTTGTACATTTTAGTCGGTGACAACTTCATCAAACATCAGAATAAATGGCTAACATAACAGTGGCTGATACACAGCATTGAAAAGTTATTTCTTGGTTGATATAGGCTTAATACAAAACCAGAGAAATCGGAGATTTAATGCGTTTCCCAAAATTTGAATTATTTAGTGCAAGAAACGCCGTTTGTGTTGATACAGGTGGAAAACAAAGGAGTCTTTCCACGCGTTTTCGAGACAATTTACTTTGGTTTGTTTCATGAAAATGTCTTGAGAAGGATTCGCTTTGTTTGTCAGATATCATATCTTTTACATGTGTGTAAAACTTTATTTATTGATCATAGAGTAATCTATATTAGATCCCTAGCAATTTAGTTATGCTTACTTTGTTAAGTTTGTGCAAGCAAGGTCTGTGTAGCTGTGCATGAATTTCCTTTTGGGGGAAATTTATTTTCATTTTGGTTTCATGTTATACCATACTAAGCTGAAATGAAATAAGACACCACTTGTTGAAGGATTAATGAGGTTAATACTACTATTTTACATGTACAGTCAAGCTTGCACAGATATTTAAGATTAATTTAGTCATGATACTCTGCATGTCAATGTGTACTTTGTACTGTCTAAAAGACATTTACCTGCACATGAAATTTCATCAGCAATAGATTACAATACTTACAGACAAGGAGGTAAAATAACCTAAGCCTGTATTTCCAAGGAATGGTAGGGAAGAAGGAGAAAAATAAAGCATGCTTCTTTGGTTTTCCATTTTCTCAATTTTGAGGTGTACTTAAGTGTGTGTTAACCCTTTAACTCCCTTGAGTGACCAAGACAGAATTTCTCCCTACAATATGGATACAATATCAACCAGATAAGTGATAAGAATAAAGAAAAATATAAATTTGGGGTTAATTAGTTGTTCCAATACTAAATTCACTGAACTAACATCATAAGAATTGTATGTTTGACAGTAAGGAGAGTTAGAAATTTGATCTGGGAGTTAAAGGGTAGTTAAGGGGGGAAAGATTACATTTAGTCTACAGAGCCAAAAACTGTGGTCATAATTAGATCTTTGTGGTTCAGCCACCCCATTTTTCCTCTTTTTGTTCAAGGCACCATGTTTAATTCTTTCAATTCTTCATTTAAATGAACTATTTTGGTGGCTCGCTGTAGTTGACACAATTTAATTGTAGTAGTTAATCTCAGACATTAACATCTCTTTGGTTAATTAGGGAGCTCAAGATTGGATTGGAGGAGAGAATGAAGCCTTGAAGGGTTTTTCTTGGAAAGGGGGGTCTGAGCGTGATACCACTGGCATCCTTCTGTGGAGTAAGCCATATATAAAAAAGCTCCCCAATGGAGAAGAGGTTTGTTGGAAATGCTTATTTTTATCCCTTGCCTGTAAAGATCTGAGAGTCACTTTCCTTGCGAATGCCTTTGGTTTGTCTGTCTTTGAGCATTAGAAAAGTTGTTCTCATCATATTAATGCAGAGTTTCCTCTAGTTTTGATAATTAAGGGTCCTTGGGATCCCCAGTTCCAAAAAGTTGGGGTCCTTTTTAGCATTTTAGGGGTCCTTTGCCTTTAACTTAAATTTGATTTTATAGTTTTTAACAGAGAGGTAAAATGAAGACTAGGTGGTAACACAATTAATAAAGCTTTAATTTTGGAATAGTGTGCTCATGTTTCTTAATACCAACAGTTCTAGTATTAGTTTTCTAGTAAGAGTCTCACCTTGTCTTAGTTTACAATATATGCTTAGGGTTAGGGATAAATAATAATTTTAATAATTATAATAATTATAATTAAATGTAGTAATGATGTAACAAATACATGTGACATACATATCAAGTCACAGTCAAGTGTCTTTCTACTGTTTTACTTTCTTCTTTTATTCATTTCATAGAATTTCTTTGTCGCTCTATCACAAACACTTTCCTCATAGATCTACATGGGTTTTGGATGCATGAGAAATATACATCTTACATTCAACTGCACTTGGGAACATTTTATTTCTCAAAGCCCCATGAATGTGATTTTGTGCTGAAAACCCTCTTTTGCAAGGCACAGAAGTGAGAGGAATTGTTTGAAAAACTTGTGCTAGGGTTACAAATGAAGGGAATATGTCTTTTTAAACACCTGGCTTTGCAAGAATTTCACACAGTTCATGAGGTTTGTCCTTGTTACTATTAAGAAAGTGCTTAAACTGGATAAATGAATTTCTTGCTTCATCAGCATCAATTAGACTCTCTTCTTCTGATGTATTGGTATATCTCTCAATTAGTCTTTGTAGATTCTTGGTTCCATGATTTCAAATTCCAGCTGTGGTGCAGGGTAATTTGGCAGGGTTGAGAATGGGATTGAAATCTTTAAGTACTTGCACATCTTTTTCAGGAAATCTCTCTTTTACTTTTGCAATGCTGTTGTCAATGAGATTGTCCATGATTCCATTGAAACAATTTTTTGTGCCAGATTGAAGTCTTTGGTTCCTTTGTGTTCACAATCATTTGTGTCCATGTGGGACAGCAGCTCCTCTAAATTCTCACCAGGATTTTCTTTTATGTCTTTGATTGTGACACAGTTGCTACTAGCATTGATTGCATTTGATCAATGTCAATCATGTCCTTGTGAAAGACTTTGCTGCATTTACTGATAACACCAAGTACATCAAGAAGGAAGCAAGTAGTTGTAATTAAAACAAAAGATATCATTTTTTTAAACCATACCCCTAGCTTTGCCTGCCCCATCATTGTTGCTAGATATTGCTTCATGATCCAGAGACAATATTAACAGTGTCAAGACAGAGTAAATGGCCTCCACAGCTTTCTTAAGTTGACAGTCACTGTACCTGAGTAGGTTTCTTGAAACGTTGAACCTTTTGATTCATTAGGTTCTTTAATTCCCTGAGCTTGTTGTACCCAACAGCAGAATATTCAAAGAAATTGTAGATGCTTTTTACTATTTCTTCATAGCTAACCAGATAAGGGGCAGCCTTGGAAGCCCAGTGTGCAACTAAGGGCAGTTTGTGAGCAACACACCAAACGGAAACTGTTTTGGCATTTACCCTTTGCAGTCATACAGCAAACCATTGTGACAACCTGTCATGACTGAAGTGCCATCTGTTCCCAACCCAGAAAGCTTTTTCACTGGAATGTTGTTTGAATTAAGATAATTCAAAACTGCAGAATAGATGGTCTCTGCTTTACCATCCTTAAACTCAAAATTAGCAGCAAATTCAATCTTGGCTATTCTCAGAACAAGTATCTTGAAAAATAAAACCAACTTTTTCTGAACTGCTATGTCAAGACTTTCATCCAACCTCAAGTCAACTAAAGGACTGTGTTTGATTCTCTTTAGGGCATCTTCAATGCACACTTCAGAAATACAGTGTTGTAACTCAGCAGCAGTAGAGTTATGTTTATAAATCCCATCACTTTTCTTCAGGTCTGAGCAACCATTGACGATCTGTGAAGTAAGAATCAACACTACACATAAACAATTAGTAAACAAGAAAAAAGTTTCAAGTGGACTACCTGTCTCTTAAATGAAATCAATAGTCTTAACTAACCTGAAAATCAATCAGGGCATTGAATTTCTTGTCAGGAATTTCCTCTTTTCCCATGACAAAAGCTGTTCTTACTTGAGCCTTCAATGCTGTGCTTGCCTTCTCTTGAACATGATGCACAACAGTCTCATGAGATCCTCTCTGTTTAATGATATTCATGGCTAGGATGTGGTAATTACCAGACTGATGTTGTGTCAGACTTGAGCGCTGAAAATTGTTTGCTCCATTCACAAAACTTTGTAATGGTTTAGGTTGACAGCCATATGCATTGAGACAAACTTTATACTTTGTTTGTTTTTTTAGGACCATCTAGGACAAAATTTGTGTTTCTTCCCTTGGGTATCATCCCCCAGAACTGTATCACTTTCAAGTTTCCTCTTTTGAGTATCAAATATAATGAATAAACTCTTTTGAGTAGACATGCCTTTGACTGTGACAAAATGGCAGGTCATAGTAAATGTAATGATGATCACAGTGATTTTTGGGTGGGGCCTGCCACACCCAGTCTCCTAACTAGTCGGAACTTTTTTCCTTCATTCCAAGGACACATTAGTAAATACTGTGCATCCTTTTCATTTTTTGTGTGTATAAAATGCACATCTGTGCATTAATGGGAACTCTGTTAATGATGGATTCTGTAACAGGTGAAGCATTCTCCTTTATTTGTATCAACTTTTTACTTGACTTTGCATCAACAATGGTTCATTTGTGTTTCACAAGATTTCATATCTTACTTTTCTCTTCAGCTTAAGATGTAGCTTAGAATTAAATACAGAGTGAGTGTGAAGCTCAGTACTCAAAACCAGTTTTCATCATCTGATTAAACCTATAGAAAACTCTGTGTTCTTACTGATCTTCACATTCTGGAACGAACCATAACCAATTCTGTCTTTGTGTTTTGATCAAGTGCAGTTGGATAATTTGTTAGTATTATTTTTTCTTGGGATAACTACTGTTTAGTGTTTTGTGGCACATCAAAAGGTTGGAACACAAACCAAAAAAATACCTTGAAAGCAGCTCATACTCTAATGGCTGACTTTGTTGGTGGAGGTTTCAAAATCATTTTATCATTTGCTCTGTTCTCATTTTGATCATGTGTTTCTCTTGAACATTTATTGCAATTTGTTGAATGTTTCTGTTAAGGGAAATATTTGATGAAAATATTTTCCTTGTGGATAGATTTTTTACTAATCAGCCTTAAAAAATCAGATTAAGTGTGAGGGAAACTGCTGGAAGTTTAGTATGTACTAATTAATTGAGTGTGTGGGTCAGACAAGAAAGTATTTGACTCTTTATCATGATGCACAGACATCACCACACCAAGTCCTTATATCATGAACTAAATATTTTCTGGTTGAGCCTACCCTTTCCTTCTTTCTTCAACTTATCATCTTTGGGGTCATACAGCTTTGTAGCAGCCCTGCTTATACCATGAAGTACAGTTATCAAAACTGGACTTTTTAACAATTTATTTTGAACAATATATGAAGTTGTTCTCTTCCAACAGATCGCTGTTCTACTGATGGACACTCAGGGTTCATTTGACAGCTCATCAACAGTAAAAGACTGTGCAACAATATTTGCACTCAGCACAATGACCAGTTCTATCCAGGTGTGTTGGTTTCACTCATTGAGGAGTGCACATACCATAGGCTTGTGAATGATGGCAAATTCAATTGCAGAATTA